ATTGAGGAAACGCGCACGAATGAATAATGAATGTTCCATCTCGCGATACTCCCCCCCCTTCCCCTCCTTCTTTCTATCTTTTCCCCTCCGGACGTTCATGTTTAGTTCCTGCGCCATCATTCTACAATTCTACTCTCCTCTAATGCTACGCGCTTCCATTGACGCATGCGTGTGAGTAGGGCAGACTTTTGGATAACCTGCAATGGAAGCTCCAAACTCACCGACTCCTCTGTATGCACCCCAATATTGCTCTATTTAGCAAAAGAGTTATTCGATGACATGGCGGTAAAAATGAGTGTTTGTTGTTGAGGATGAACCTTGGTGACCTCTGATGTGATGGAACTAACAGCAACGTCCCAAGAGTGCTTCGCAACGCCATTCCGTACCTGGCACTATATGCCCGCTGTAAGAGGAAGAATGAACAGGGGATGGAGCATTAACAATAGGGTGCTTCCTCTCATAGAGTATGAACCAGTAAGCATCTCGGCAATTTCTCCCAGAAGGCATACGTCTAACGAGCGAATGAGTCCGATGTCAGTGATACCCTCACGACGGTCTTCGGGTTTGACCGTCGAGTCATGGAGCAAAAAAGATGCAGCGACAGCGGCCCCCGGTCGAATGCCCCCGATATCCAGCTTATAGGTGCGCCCTTTTGGCTCTCTCTCTCTGTGTGTGTGTGGCCTCGGACAGGGGATAGGATATTCAAGCAGCTCAAAAAAGCGACTTGTATTGTAGTTTTGTTCTAACTTGTTAAGAAACATCTCGGCGAGGCCCAAAACTACCAAACTCGCAGTCGTACTTTTAGGTGTCTGTGTGGATTGACTTTCACGTTGCCAGGAAAAATAATACGCAGATCAACAGACAGGAAAGTACCTGCTATCCCGAGGATCATGGTGGTAGTAACGAGTAGCCCTTTAAGTTTTAATGATTAGGCCTGTGAAAGTGTCGTATAAACTATTGTGCTCGGTAATTCGATTATGAGAAGACATAAGTAAAAAAGGGAATAAGTAGAAAGCTAAACAACAGAAATTTTGAAGCCATACGTGAAGAGCAGTCTGAGTAACCTTGGGGAAGCTAGTGGTCTTTCAAAGTTCGGACACTTGCCAAGACGAATTGCGCACCAAGATCAAAAGGAACACATATACAACCATTCCTCATGCCGTGAGACGTTGCGGTACGCGGCTAGCTTGTAACAATATCGAAAAAAGGGAGTCGCTCTTGAATGGCCAGCCGAGTTTAAAATTTCGGGGAGAGATCCATATAACGGATGAGACCATGGCATGTGCCATGACATGTCTTTTAAGGAACGGGAATAAATCGTGTCACACGAGAAAATACCAAGAAAGGGATTGTGTGACACACACCCCTGGTTCCTATAGGTAGCGTTTTATTGCGCCTAGGATTACGTACCCAAGAGCTTAAATCTTGTATCGTTACATGAAGTGGGGCGCATAGTGCGTTTGATAGGGCTTATGTAGGTCATGTCTGGTGGCTTGTGAGAGGGTTTAAATCCGTAGACGCCGCTGAAAGTAATAGTAAACTTGAGGAGAAGAAAGGAAAAGATTCTCTCCTCCCTTCTCTCGCGTTATTTCCCTTTCTATCCGGAGCGTATCCGATCTGCAGGTCACATAACTCTTGCATAAAAAAATACTAAAAAATGGGCATGGCCACGTCACGGTATTTATCTATATCTCGGCAGTTACTGTGCGACAGGACCGAGATCCAACCCATCCACCGCGCCATATGGCGCCAAGGTGGCGCCAGGCGAAAATAGTGACCTCCACTCAGATGCGTGTCAGGTCGCCGTGACGTACATATTGGATGATGAGACCATGCAGCCCTTGCTCCATCATCAGCTCTCCACTCTACAACCAAAGCCGGCTTATCCGCATCATGCTGCCAAAAAGCTTCAATCAGCCTCACAAAGGCTCACGCCACGGCCCTCTTGGAGCTGTCCTCCTCGGTACAGATAAATCCCTCATTAAATTACCCAACGGATGACCTACGATATCTATAAAAAGCCTCCAATTCACCTAGCTAGATAGCTTTAATCAAGGACCAGTCCCGATCCATAGCTATCAATCGTGATACGACAGTCCATCCATCATGGCCGACATACGCGTTCAAAGCCTGCGCAAACCGATTGATGTCTCCGAATATCTCTTCCGGCGGCTCTATGAAGTCGGTGTTCGCTCGGTACATGGTGTCCCCGGCGACTATAATCTTGTCGCACTCGACTATCTTCCCAAATGTGGGCTGAAATGGGTTGGCAGTGTCAATGAGCTGAACGCCGGTAAGTCCTTTCATAGCCTTCGACGAGGAAGTTTTTCTGTGCTATCATGGGTCGATTTGTTTGCCGTTAAAGCCCTCCACCGCTCAAGGGCGAGAGAGAAACCCGTTCTAACTTGTGTTTTTTCTCTACAGCCTACGCTGCGGATGGGTACGCCCGTATAAAGCAGATCGGTGCGCTCATCACTACATTCGGTGTAGGAGAGCTTTCTGCCATCAATGGTGTCGCGGGGGCCTTTTCTGAGCATATACCTGTTGTGCATATTGTCGGGTACCCGTCGACGCTCTCGCAACGAGACGGCATGCTTCTGCACCACACCCTGGGCAATGGGGACTTCAACGTGTTCGCCAACATGAGTTCTCAAATTTCATGCCAGGTTGCCAAGTTGAATAGGCCATCGGAAATTGCGGACCAAATTGATCATGCTTTGCGTGAGTGCTGGGTTCATTCGCGACCCGTCTACATCACCCTACCGACGGATATGGCCGACGCCAAGGTGGAAGGGGCACGGCTTGATCGGCCAATTGACCTGACGGAGCCACAGAATGATCCAGAAAAGGAGGATTATGTTGTTGATGTCATCATGAAATACCTCAACGCTGCCAAGAACCCGGTGCTGCTCGTTGACGCCTGTGCCGTACGTCACCGCGTCCTTCCAGAGGTTCATGATCTTTTGGCCAAGACGAATCTGCCCGTCTTTGTCACCCCAATGGGCAAGAGTGCTGTCAATGAACAACATGACAATTTTGGTGGTGTCTACGCTGGAAGCGGCTCACACCCTCCGGAAGTGAAGAACATTGTGGAATCATCAGATCTGGTTGTGTCTATTGGCGCTTTGAAGGTATTCACGCATACCCATCCCGGAAATATGAGTCTTGATGCTAACACACGATGCCTAGAGTGACTTCAATACGGCTGGCTTCTCTTACAGAACATCACAGCTGAACAGCATCGACCTTCACAGCGACCATTGTGTTGTGAGATATTCAACATATCCTGGGGTGAGGATGAAGGGAGTTCTGCAGAAAATTGTCAAGCGAGTTGATCCTAAACAGCTCAGCATCCGCGCTTCCCCCACCGTTCGGAATGAGGCAAAGGAACACCATGATGAATCGGCGACAATCACTCATGCTTGGTTCTGGCCACGTCTTGGCGAATTCCTTACTGATAATGACATTGTTGTCACAGAAACAGGGACTTCAAATTTTGGTATCTGGGACACCAAGTTTCCCTCCGGAGTAACGGCAATGAGTCAGGTTCTCTGGGGCAGTATAGGATGGTCAGTAGGTGCATGTCAGGGAGCCGCACTCGCCGCCAGGGAAATGGGTGAGAAGCGAAGGACCATTTTGTTTGTTGGGGATGGCTCAATTCAGTTGACTGCTCAGGAACTGAGCACCATGATACGCCATGAGCTGAGCCCCATCATGTGAGTTACCTCCAGTGAAGGAGCACAGCAACAAATCTGCCATGCCAGGATACTGACTTGCGTATAGATTTGTCATTTGTAACGAGGGTTTCACTATTGAGCGATTTATCCATGGTATGGATGCAACTTACAACGATATTGCCAAATGGGACAATCGGGCCCTTGTTGATGTTTTCGGCGGCCAAGGGAAGGCTCAGAAGTTTGCTGTGAAAACAAAGGATGAGTTGAATGAGTTGCTTGCAAGCCCTTCTTTTAAAGCCGCGAACCAATTGCAGCTTGTTGAGATATATATGCCAAAGAAGGATGCGCCGAGATTACTGTTGATGACAGCCGAGGCCAGTGCCAAAACAAATGCAAGGAAGGAGTAATAGGTAATGAATACATGAGTGTAGTTGCAATCAAATGGCGCCTTCTACCTGCACCACATTTTCAAAGGTGATGTCGCCCGTAAATTGCCAGTATAAGCGTGATTATTGCGAAGATCGTCAACCGGGTTTTGTCCCAGGACAACCATGCCATATAAACAGTGAAAACACAACTCAGCACAGGGTAGCCAGGGTGTGTGATGCTGGTGCCTTCCGCGCGGTGGTGAGAACCCCACTTCACAGTACATACAGTGCGTGTAGACAGAGGAGACGACGCGGCCCAGAAAAAAAAGGGACAGAAAAGAGAGGGCAGAGAATGACACAAGACCGGAAGTGTAAAACGCCCATCGCTAGCAGCAAGTTAGATAGGGAAAGGGTCAAGCTCATATCCCATTCAATCACCTTCAACAGTCGTGAGACCCATTTACATTTTGGCCTTTACTATTTGCACCAGACACTTGCGCCGCATGGATTCTACGTCGCGAAAACGTAAAGATGGCCCCGGGCCAGCCAACGGTAGTACCCAGCATGCCCACAAGAAGAGTAAGGTACGCATGGCGAGTGATGTCGAGCTCTAAGTACAAGCGCACTTCTTTGACGTGGAACTTTCGAAGCTGACATTTCCCATGGGATGGCTCCAGGGGGGCAGCGCTGGAAGATGGAAAACTCCTCATCAAAAGGCTAAAATAGCTGAAAAGGTGGAACTGGGAACAACACTTGCCGTCGGCGATCAAGGCATATGGGTCACATTCGCGAGAGGAATGAAATACAAAGCAATAAGGGAATTCAAAGAGCTTTGTGTTGAGGTAAGAAACGACTGGTTGTAAACTCCTCGAGCACACCTCCTTGTGACCCCCCACCCAAGAACAGTTCCATGAAGTTTCTGGCTGACCTAAAATGTTCAAAGTACGGCAAGACAATGTATGGTATTGAGCCCCCGGCAAACGCCGACGACGAAAATGCGCAAGGGGACGAACACCAGGATATTGAGGCCTCCATCGAAGCAGAACTGAGCAGCATGAAGTCGGGTGGGAAAGCAGATATGAATCAAACCTTCAAACCAGTCTCATCCGGCGTTGAGTGCCTATTCTTCATGAAGACGATGGATCCAGTTCAACCTGGATCCCTGGCAAAGAGAATGTGCGAAGACGCCAGGGACTGCCGAGACCAAAGGCAGCGCAAGTGCAAATACATCAACCGACTCACACCCGTGGTCAACATGGACAAAGCCACGGATAACGGTATTGTCAAGGTGGCACGTGCTGTGCTGTCACCTTGGTTTGAATTAAAAGACGAAGAGAAAGGCGATGCAGACAAAACAAAAGCACCCACCTCAGCTGTTCCGTCCCCCCCTTACACGGTACGTGCTATGCATTGGCATCTGACAGTCTGTGAGAAGCAATGGAGTCTCGGCAACTAACCGAAGTACAACTTCCCCTTTTCAGTACGCCATTCGACATAACATTCGTAATCACACCACGTTCAAATCGGGTGAAGTTATCCAGAAGATTGCGGGTCTTATAGATGCCAAACACAGCGTCAATCTGAGTAAACCGGACAAGGTGATCCTCGTGGAAATCTTCCAGGTCGGTGTAGTCTCCCCTCACCTTCTTTATTTCTTTTGTCCTGACCCAACCTCGAGCTGACACTGCGGTATAAAGCTTTTTTGTGGTATATCGGTCGTTGACGGGAAGGAATGGGAAGAGCTGAAGCGGTACAACATGAACGAACTTTACAGTCTTCCTCCTGTCGTAGGAAAGAAAGACTGAACTTATGTGCCTGCCAGGAACAGAACGGTACAAGGTGGAGTATCCAGGATCAAGAGCTAATGGTATTCAATGTTCATCGTTGTCACAGAAAATTGCCAAGTGAAGCATCGGTCGCATGGGGTGTATTGGCATATAACTGCCTATGTAGCTATTAGGAAACTTTGAAGCCAGGAACAATCCTCGGATCGGGGACGACTTGGTATTTTATTCTGAAAGGACGATTTTCATGGTGTAATGGCATACTTGGTCATAGAGTATACCTAGGGGGTGATGGTGATGCTGCTGCATTTGGCGCATCTGTCCGACTCCTCTGCTTGAACGTGTAGGCTTGTGCGTATGGATATAGTATGCAACGGTACAATCAATTAAAGGCCACATAGGGATCTCGGCTGCAAACTTCTGATTCTCATCTATACATTTCAAACTTTTGGTTTTAATATTGGGTGAAGACGATATTAAAAGGCGCCCTACACATTACCGCATGAAGTCAAGTCCCTGCCAGTTCGCGGTGTGGTCCGCGGAATGCAACCGCAGAAGCCTCGCTTAAGACGGCCAATGAGCGACCAGCCAGGTTGACCGACGAACTGGACCGGACGATGGACTCTGGAGTAGCAACCACTAATTACCATTCCACCAGGAATCGCCATCAATGGAGGGAGATAATGTTGCGTCGCATACGGAGCACCGAGTACTTTTAAGTACAGTTGGTTGTACATACTGACCGTTCTCTGGGGTGCTGTTGCCCATGTTCAGAGAGCCAGTCCCGTCCCCAACATGTTACTGTACCAGACGCTACTACTAATCCCGTACTGTGTAGCCCTGTTCCTCAACCCAACCACCTGATCCCTACTAGATGGCCGAACCGTACCAACAAACTGACGGGGCTTGGAGCTTGTCTTGGGGTGAGGTGTTGTCAGTATCAAGAAGCGCTGGATGTCACAATGCGATAAGGTCCACGGCGTTGACATCTGTCTCGCCTACTTTATCCCGACTAGGCAATAGCCTCAGTATGCTCCTGAACACCCTCCTCAACGCTCGTTTCAACCCAAAGCAAAAAAGGCGTTCCATGGTCCACTCACTGTCCTGCTTGGTGCCGCATATTAATTCCAATGTGAAAAACAGGGTTTCCCACTCGCCCTGAGGACTCGGCAATTGGACGGGTACGTGGGTAGTATCTACTCACCATACGCCACTCTCGCGGATCATTACGCCGCTCCAGTCATCCCGTCTTGCTGGGCGATGCAAGCTCGCTAGAAGCAATCCAATAATGTCTCCCCGTCTCCTTGTTGCTGGCCGCAATGGAGGAAAGCGGCGTCGACAAGTGGTTGAAAGGTGGCTCGGACCAATATGACGAGGTCCAACTGCCAGGCAGGCGACGCGAATATGACGATGACTCGGCTCTATACACGCAAAGACGTCCTGGTGGCTGCTTGAAAACACTGAAATGACACGACCTGTCATTGAGCATCTTGCATATTGTGGCTCTTGCGTTGAGACCTGTCCTGAGCGCAAACGCTTAACTTAACCCCTTGAAGCTTGTTGGCCCGTACGGCCAATTCAAAAGTTCCCATCCACATTCTGCTCATCGAAGGCCTCCCTCCTTCCCTCCGCTCCTTGTTGTCTACCCTTGTGTCGTGTCGTATTCTAGTGCCGCGAGTATGCAGATGCACACGTAACATTGAACTACCAGGCATTAACGCTGAACGCGGAGGCCGATTTGCGCCCGTTCGTACTGGAGACCTGTCTTTAAGTGACACCGGCAACGTGGCGGCAGCATGGATCATGGTAAACGACGCAAATATGAGATATCGAATATGGTCCCCGTTCATCATCTCAACCGCTACCTGGCACATAATTTCATGGAATGTCTAGTCGGACAGACCTTATAGCCGGCAGTAAGTCGTATACAGACATACGCAAGAACATTCATGCAACAGACAAAAGGGCATTCCTCATCTTTGGACCCATTTTTGACAGTTTTCATATGCGAGAGGGCTTACATGGCAGCGTCTCCCGCATCAACTGACCCACAACGTTGGCTCGTACACATAGAGGTATCCCATTACCACGGGGCATATTTCGTCAGAATCCTTCGTCAACTGAGCAAACTTCTATATTAATTCTTATGCGAAGAAGCAATCGTGACTTCACCCTCGCCCGGTTGCTGATCAGTGTACAATCCGATAACAATTAACGTTTGCCCATCCACACGTTCATCTCCCAAACTGGTAAACCAACATATTCATGGGGTTTTGCCAGACAGGCGGAACTTGTCCCGCTCCTCTTCAAAACGCCTCGATCCTTTCCTTCTGAGCCTTGATATAACGCACTCCGCAGTACCACCCAGAGGTATTAAGCAGTGGGCCAACCTGGAATACGACCAGCGGATTATTCGGCCTTTCGGCTTGATGCCTGGCCGCCTCGACAGTCACAACGTGCTACATCGAGATCTTGAGGCCGATACAAGTCCTTTTGTGTTGCCACACCGTTTCAGCGCCTGGACAGCAGAAAAGTAGGGATGAATGAACTCCAGGAAGCCATGGGTTTCGATGATGCTCATCCAGTAGACTTGAAACGACTTTCGACACCTGAAAACAGACTTCATGTACATTACATTGCATCATCAAGCAACGAGGAGCAACTGACACTGACCTTGGCTCCCACTTCGACGAAGATTCTGCGAACAGAACAAGCTTCAATAAATTCTGAAGCAGTGCTCTTGCAGTGGCTAGGTTCTGTTGGTCATGTTAGTCCCCTAACAAAAGAACGACAGAGGAACCCTGAAACGCTTGAGAAAGCTCCCAAAGGCAGCGACGCGGAGGCTAAACTATCCAAGCACACTTGTCAATTCAAGAAGACTTTGCCGAGAGTCGTTAAACATGGCCGGGTCAAGTGTCCGAATGACGTTGAGTTCCTATTGACAAAACGGACAAGTGGAGCTATGCTTTCGTCTGTGATCAACACTTTGTCAAAACCCCAACAAAGGCATATCGATTTTCAGATTGGACAGCTGATTCGTGGATTATCTACCTACCAGTCACCAAATGGACACTTTGGGGTCGCTTCTGCTGTGTTGAAGGCTGCTGGTATTCACCACACCATGTTCATAGCCTCAACTGTGCCGACTGAACAGGTTACGAACGATGCCGTATATGCTCGGTGGTCCGACGCCTTCTTATGGCTGCTTGAATCTGTATTGAGAGACGCAGAAGACGTTTCCTTGTCTTTGGAATATGACAGGCTTCGTTTTCATGCCGGCCGCTTCAAGAAAATACTTGATGAGGTGACAGTGCCTTGCCTGGTGATTCTTGATGCCGGCGAATACGTCAATACCCATATCATTACATCTAGCGACTCCACAACGCAAGACCTCAAAGTCTCCATGCAACGGCATGGCAAAACATCTTTCCAAACAGAGAAGCCTCAAACTGTAGCAGCCCCATTGCTGGAAGCAAATCGATCCGCCAGAAATGAGCGAAAGGACGACGAACGTGGCCCTGTGCCGGTGCTGGTGCCAATCACCACGCGTCAGAACCCGGATACACCGAGAGTTATTGGTATTCAGGACTGGCATAACAGCGTCTTTGGTGATCCATTGTTCACGTCCGTGCTTACCAGGAATAAGAATACGGATATGTTGGATGGCTTGATGGATCAAACTGGCCATGTTGAGTCCAAAGCAGTAAGACAGGCAATCCACTTGGCAAAAGACTTCCAGCACGTGGATGTGCGGCGGCTGCTGTACGATTGCTATCATTCGGTGACTGCAATAGTAACGGAATACTATAGAATGACAGTCGACGGCGATGATCGGGAGCTCCCGGCTCGACGAAGGCTGGTACAAGCGATAGTTAGGTTGGACGACTTGGACGACCAGGGTAGAAAGTTACATCCACATCCATGCCCATCCCATCCCATCGCAAAGCGCAAAAAGTCTGGCTGATCAATCAATCCTTTGTAGAGGAACATGACAGACTAGTGTCTAGCGGAGAGATTTGAAGGGAGACATCCATTCCGAAGGGAATAGTCGGTTGTCAATGCTGCTATTTTCTATCGTGGGTGCAGTAGGTCCTCAAACAAGAGTCCAGCATATGGATATGTACTCAATCTTCTCTTGTTCTGTCATCTTCATCTCTTGGTAGCGTGAAACCCATCATACCAAGGAGATTGCCAGTTGGCCCAGCCATTCCCGCTTGTCCTTTGAAGCTTTCCAGAATATTTTGAGCCAGGTTATAGTCAATATTTAGCTCCTCCATGCTTTCTTCAACTGTAGAGATGGCAGAAGACTGTTGCTGCTCGTTTTGAGATTGCTCTGGAGCTGGTCCTTTAACGCGCCTGGGTGTTTCTGATTTCAGATCCAAAGCCCCATGCCGCCTCAACTCAGCCTCCATTTCGGATGAAAGCTGCTGCAAATCATCGGGATTACTTTCGATTTCTTCGCAAATCGGTTGCTGCGTTAGGTCTACTGCCCCAGCATCTACACCGCAGTTATTCGTTGCGTCGTCTCCGGGCATTCCCATCATCTCCCGCATCATTTGTTGGAAGGCTTCCTCGTCAAAGCTAACAGCTTTGTCCTCAAACTCACTGTCTTCATCGTCATCGCTATCGTCGGTGTCTTCGTTGTCGTTGCCATCCGAATGATCAAGATCGACCCCGTCTATGCCAGCCTTGTTGTCGCTAAGAAACGTCTCGAAACGTGATACAATCTTCCTGAGGTGATCTTGGGCTTGGGGATCACCGAAACCTGAGCCACCCTCTTTTGATGTACCTTGGCGCTTTCCATCTAACTCACGCTCAAAATCTAGGTAATTTATATCCATCCAATCTTCAGCGTCATCACGCTGATGATTTATCCAAGACTCCATGTCACGATCTGTAGGTAATCCAGCATCTCCGTCTTCGGCTAAATCTTGAAGCAAGAGAGCCAGCTCTCTGACGACTCGGTGCCTACTTTTATCGGCGTGAACCGAGAGCATCTCATAACCACACGTCAACTTCATCCCCATATCTTGTCGGGCTAGCTTCTGAAAATCCGAGGGAGATGCCTCCGACCGATCCATATTAAGAGCTCTCCATCTCGGAGGGGGTTCCAAGCGTTGCGACTTGAGCTGCGCGAAAAGCACCTTCGTAAAGCGAACGCTTGTAGTAACAAAGTCTTCCGGGGGAAATACTAGCGGCGCAGAGGCGGAAGAGATTGACTTCATTGTAACGGCATCTCGAAGATAGAACATTTCGACAGCCATTGAAACAGATTTCGGTATCAGGTGCAGAATATATGCGAGCTTTCTTGGGATAGTGACTAGGGAGTAATGTGTGGAATGGTGTATATAATCGGGATACTTCTCAAGACGATAGAAGGCTTCCGCTTCAATCAAAGGAGAATGGAGTAGCGCGTTAGGCTTGGTTCTCAGGTAGTCGAACGCGTTCCGCAAAGTCATGTTGGCGGCTTTCCCTTCTTGTTGGGCGTCGGCTGCTGAAGACGGTGGTATGATTAAAAGTTTGGAGTCGTGAATCCAAACGCGATTTTGGTCTATCTCAGGAGTAATCCATTTTGGCAGCACATTGGCGGCCTCGATCAATAAAAATTCCCCATCGGCATCTGCAACGTGCACCCAAAGGTCAGGGAACGATTGGGTCAGTTGGCGTAGCAAGTAGACAATGAGCCACTCATCCTCGATAGCATCGCCATAGTCAGTCATGCCATGCAAATATGTCATGCCTGCGATATCAAGCCAGAATCGAGTTAGAAAGTTGGGAATACACCACCAGTCTGAGCAAAATCGGGGGAGACACACCTTCGGATGACTTCAGTTCAAGATGGAACTCATCTCTTTGCCAGATATAGTCTTTCGTAAGTGTATTACAAAGATTGATGGCAGATTTTCGAAGCACTTCCAGCTCCTGGAGTAGTGTTCGACAACCATTTTTTTGCTGGACAAGAAGCAAATCATATTCAACGTAATTTTCAGGAATTCGTCCGCGACCAGAGTTGAAGTCTGGGGGAACCGAGGACAACTGCTCGTCCATCATGTCTCACATATCGTGCAGTACCGAGGTGGCATGAGTTGTCATGAGGCAAGATGTAACAGGTTTTGGACGAGCAAAATTTATGGGGCCGATATGTTGTCAGTGGAAGGCTCGGGTTGCTGCCAGCGGAAATGCGAATCTATAAATATATAACTGGCTACTTGAACGCGCTGAATAGACTTTCACAGGTGACTCTGCATATCGGCATGCAAATGGCTTCTAGTCCATTCATTTGCCTGTGATCAAATTACGTGTTGAGATCTAGGATGTTATTATATTATTTATATACTCTCGGTCGGAGGTACGGAGTAGTTACAAAGAGTCAATCCAATGTTGGCAAACTTGGGGGTCCAGGAGTGGATCAGTATCCCCTCCAACGACAAAGCGCAAGCGTTTGGCTGGTGGGTTTGTGCCTGTGCAGTGCACTCGTGCTGTCTGGTTCATTGCTTACTGTACCCGCCCCGCCCCGCGATCTGACGCGCCAGTCGCGTCCCCCAGCAACTTCTGCAGTTTGAGATCATCACTTTTATTGTGGCCAACCTTACGGCTGCCCACGGTACCATTTAGAATGACGGACTACAGCGCACCTCGCATGTTATTTTTAGCAACCACTCTTCAACACAGCAGACTCTATTTCTCTCAGCACAAAACCACTGAGTGAACGATCTTTGCCCAGCCTTTGTGGGGAACAACAGCCTGTCACCATGGCGCCGTTGAAGCGTACTAGAATGGCTGTAGACAGCGATGACATGAGCGGAGATCTTGACAGTACTGAGGGCGGTTCTCCTCTGGCAAATGATGTCAAAATGGTAAGAGACATATTTGTTATCTTCGCGGAGCGGACTCATGGACTGATACATAATGTGCAGACGAAAAGACTTCGAATATCTCTTGAAGCCGCCCGTGATAGCATTCCGAGAACAGCAACGCGCGAGGACGGATCAAGTTCTGAAGAAGAAGATGATGACGACGACGACAATGATGATGATGATGTCGACAATGGCGCCGATATACCCAACTCCCCGCCCCAAACGCAGTACGAAATAATGCGTGACGCTGGCTTCAAACATCTGCAAAATACAGACAAAGATGATTTTCAAGCTACGCAGAAACTCAAACAGCGCCCGACAACCGTTGGTCAGAACATGGCTGCGGAAAGTGGTATTATCGAGAGTATTACTTGTTATAACTTCATGTGCCACGAGCGATTGCATGTGGAGCTTGGCCCCCTGATCAACTTCATTGTTGGTGAAAACGGCAGCGGCAAGAGCGCAGTTCTGACGGCACTGACTCTCTGCCTTGGAGGCAAGGCGAGCGATACTAATAGAGGAGGAAGCCTGAAGTCATTTGTGAAGGAAGGTCAAGATCATGGCAGCCTTGTTGTCAAAATAAAGAATGCTGGGTCAGATGCCTACCAGCCTGATATATACGGGGACTCCATTCTTGTTGAGCGTCACTTTTCCAAGTCTGGAAGCAGTGGTTTCAAGATAAAAAATGAGCAAGGCCGTATCATATCTACCAAGAAGCAAGAAGTAGACGAGATATCCGAGTGGTATGCCTTACAGATGGGAAACCCACTAACTGTGCTTTCTCAAGATAACGCCAGACAATTTCTTAATTCTGCTACCCCGTCCCAGAAATACAAATATTTTGTCTCTGGTGTCCAATTAGAACAGCTTGATAACGACTACAAAATGTCACAAGATACACTGGACAGGACAATCATTCTGAGAGACGATTTGAGCGAGAAGATTGCCCACGTTAAGAAGGAGATGGAGGACGCTCAAAGGCTAGCAGAGACCGTACAAAAGAATAACACCCTACGAGAAAGGGCTCGACACTACCGTAATCAACTCGTCTGGTCACAGGTTGTTGAACGAGAACAAGAACTCGAACTCCAAAATGCTGAGTTGGAAGCACGGAAGCAAAGGATCATCCAGTTGGAAGAGAACTGTGTCAAGTTGTCACGCGCACTGGATGATATCATGGAGAAACTTGAGCGTGCAAAGGCAATACGGAACGGACTGGATGAAGAATACGGCGCGATTGAGGAGTCCATTGCGTCTGCAGAAGGCGTTTTCATTGGAGCAAAGAAAGACTTGGCGGAGCTACACCTTGAAGAACGGGATGCTTTCACAAGGCTGAAGGCGGTCAAAGCTGACATTGAAACATACGAGACAAGAATTCGGGAAGAAGAAGCAAAACTTGTTGCGTCGTCTGGATTTGCTAGGGTGGAAAAGGAAGCGGAGCATAAGAGAGCACAAGCCCGTGAGGCAGAGCTAAATGACCAGATCGAGGATTGCACTCAACAACTACCCAGCTTGCAATCCAAGATTGCAGAAGTTGAGCATGCCGTGAAGAGACATCAGCAACTCAAAGAACAAAAGCGCAAGGACATTGTGGCTGCGGAACAAGGGGTCAGGGAGCTTGAGAAGAGTACGGGATCCATTTATGATGGGTTTGATCGCGATATTACACAGTTGGTGAGAGCTGTTGCAGCAGATTCGGGTTTTGGCAGCAAGCCCCTGGGACCGCTCGGCGCCCACATCAAGTTGCTCAAGCCAGAATGGTCTGGTATCCTGGAGAAGACACTAGGTGACGCCCTCAATGCTTTTGTCGTAAGGAGCAAAAGGGACCAATCTCGCTTATCAAGTCTAATTCGTCAGTCTGGCATGAAGAAGCCTCCACCAGTATACATTGCGTATGGAGATCAGATTGACACTGCATCTCAAGAACCTGCCGACGAATACGACACAATTTTGCGCGTGTTGGAATTCGACGATGAACTTGTTCGGTCACAGTTAATCATCAATAATCAAATCGAAAAAGTCATTCTCGTAAAGGATCGAATTCAGGCCGAGGCCGTCATGGTTGACAATGGTCCCCCCCGGAACGTCGCTGCCTGCATATGCTTCC